AAATTAGCTGGGCATGGTGGCATACACCTGTAATCCCAGCTACTCAGGAGGCTGAGGCAGGAGAATTGCTTGAACCCAGGAGGCGGAGGTTGCAGTAAGCTGTGATTGCACCACTGCACTCCAGCCTGGGCGAAAGAGTGAGACTCCATCTCAAAAAAAAAAAAAAAGGCATGGTGACTCACACCTGTAATCCAGCACTTTGGGAAGCAGAGGTGGGCCGACCACCTGAGATTGGGAGTTCGAGACCAGCCTGACTAACATGGAGAAACCCCATCTCTATTAAAAATACAAAATTAGCTGGGCGTGGTGGCGCATGCCTGTAATCCCAGCTACTGGGGAGACTGAGGCAGGAGAATCGCTTGAACCCAGGAGGCAGAGGTTGTGGTGAGCCAAGATCACACCATTGCACTCCAGCCTGAGCAACAAGAGCGAAACTCTTGTCTCAAATAAATAAACAAATAAATAAATAAAATAAATTGTCAAGACAGGGATCTCACTATGTTACCGAGGCTGGTCTTGAACTCCTGGGGGGGCTCAAGTGATCCTCTGCCTCAGCCTACCAAAGTACTGGGATTACAGATGTGGGCCACTATGCCTGGTCCCTATTGTCTGTTTCTTCTTATGTCCTCCAAAGACAAAATGGTTCAACACTGTGTCTGTTCCATTCCCTTTCCAAGTGTACCTCCTGGATCTGAGACCCTAACCCTCTCTCTCATCATTCCTTAAGCCCATTTACTCAATCACTATTTGAGTCTACTATGGGTCAAGCACTGCTCAAGGACCTGGTGATATAGCAATCAAAACAACCAACTAGAGTCCCTGCCTCATGGAGCTGACCTTCTGTGGGACCTCAGACCCCAGACTTCACTTGTGAGACCACTTAACTGTCCTTAACTGGCTGCCCTACTCCTGCCCTGTTCCTGCCCTGCTCTGCTTTGAAGCCCTGTCAGTCTCAGGCTTTCCCAACTGTTGCTTATCTCTCTTTCACTGAAACACGTGCACGCGCGCGCGCACACACACACACACACACACACACACACACACGCCCCTCTGATTTTAAACTGAGGCACAGCACGGCAGGGTTCCAGGGCTCCTGCTACTCACTGCTTCTCGCTCCCGGTCCATGATAGTCTCCAGCTCCTCAAAGTGCCGAAGTTTGATCTCCAACTTTTTCATCTGGGTCTCCACCAGCAGGGCCACCAAAGATTTGATCTTCCTTTCCTCAACAGCAGCCAAGTGCTAGGGAAGGAGGAATGAGACAACACATCAGTGGGAGGACCCAACTGAAGACAATACAGAAGAAAGGTAGGGTGGATGCTGGCAGGTATAAGAACAAACTTGCCGTGGTAACAACTCATGGTGAGAGGGCTTGACTTTTTTTGTGCTGGGATCATAGGTGTGAGCCACTGTGTCTTTTTTTTTTTTGAGACAGTCTCACTCTTTTGAGACAGTTGCCCAGGCTGGAGTGCAGTGGCATGATCTCAGCTCACTGTAACCTCCACCTCATGGGTTCAAGCAATTCTCGTGCTTTAGCCTCCCTAGTAGCTGGGATTACAGACATGCGCCACCACGCCAGCTAATTTCTGTGTTTTTAGTAGAGACAGGGTTTCACCATGTTGGCCAGGCTGGTCTCAAACTTCCAACCTCAGGTGATCCACCTGCCTCAGCCTCCCAAAGTCCTGGGATTACTTACACGTGTGAGCCACTGCGGCCAGCCTTTTTAAAAAATTAAATTATTTTGGCCAGGCGCGGTGTCTCAAGCCTGTAATCCCAGCACTTTGGGATGCTGAGACGAGCAGATCCCTTGAGTCTAGGAGTTCGAGACCAGCCTGGGGCAACAGGGTGAAACCCCGTCTCTACTAAAAATACAAAAATTAACCAGGCATGGTGGCAAGTGCCTGTAATCCCAGCTACTCGGGAGGCTGAGGTGGGAGAATCGCTTGAACCCAGGAGGTGGAGGCTGCAGTGAGCCGAGATTGTGCCACTGCACTCCAGCCTGGACAACAGAGTGAGACTCCATCTCAATAAATAAATAAATAAATAAATAAAAGAACATGGAGGTTGGGCGTGGTGGCTCACACCTGTAATTCCAGCAATTTGGTATGCCAAGGCGGGTGGATCACCTGAGGTCAGGAGTTCAAGACCAGCCTGGTCAACATGGCGAAACCCTGTCTCTACTAAAAATACAAAGAGTTAGCCGGGCATGGTGTTGTGCTCCTGTAATCCCAGCTACTCGGGAGGCAAAGGCAGGAGAATCACTTGAACCTGGGAGGTGGAGGCTGCAGTGAGCCGAGATCTGATAGAGCAAGACTCTGTCTCAAAAAAAAACATGGAGATACTGTGGCAAAGGGTAACACGGAGTCAAATACCGACAGGGTTGAAAACAGGCCCAATGGTGACATATTTTTTTAAAGCTTAGAGAAGGGATGACTAACTTTACCTCCTCCAGAGATTAAAAATTAAAAATAAATAGGTCAGTATTATTTAAGGTGTGGGTGAGGAAGGATTTCCTCTAAGTAACATGAGATTAGAGAAGTGGGCATTTTCTTCCCTGAGGTCTTCAAGGTCTGGCCTCACCTTGGCTTTCACTGCGGCAGCAGCCAGGGCGGCAGCAGCGGCGGTGGAGAGGTTGCCCTCGCCAATGTCCCGCTCCACCTTTGTCTTCCTTTCCCCCTCAGACTCCACCACTTCCTTCAGCACTTCCTCCTGCCCTTCCTTTGGCTCCTTCTCCTTCTCAGGATCGACTGGGCCAGGACAAGGGTTAAGTTAGCCCCACAGTTTCACCTCTCTTCCCTGCACCCCCACCTACCCTTGTGGGAGGCTCACCTATTGGGTCTCCATCACTCTTCTCAGACTCCTTCTCACTGTCACCTTCTTTCCCTTTCTCCTCATCCTTCTTGGGAGCCTCGCTGGTTTTCTCCTTTGCTTCCTCCTCTATGGCACCCCCTCCTTCTCGGGGTTCCTGAAATTCCAGTGATAGAAAAGGAGAGTTATCAGGGATTGGGGTGATTAGTTCTCACACAGAGGAGCCAGACAGGGAACTAAATTTATTCCTCTTACTTCGGAGGTGATTTCATTCTAGGAGACAACCCCGTCCAAAACCAGCCCTTGCCCACCTAAGCTGAACAAGGCCAATTCCCCCATCACCACAGTGCTGCACACAGCCCCTGCAGCTCCCAGCAATCCCTCCGTACCTTGGGCTCCTTCTTCTCATCTGTGGCCTGGCCTTCCACCCGAGCCTCGTCATTCCCGCTCTCCTCTGGGCCCATGGGAAAAGGAAAACAGGAAATGTCTAATACACAGTCGTCTGTGTCTAACACTCTTCTTTTTTTTAGAGACAGGTTCTTGCTGTGTTGCCCAGGTTGGTCTCAAACTCCTGGGCCCACGCAATCCTCCCACCTCAGCCTCCTGAGCAGCTTGGACTACAGGTGTGAGCCTCTGCACCCAGCTTCTCCATAACACCTGTATTTTTTCTTTTGAGACAGGGTCTCACTCTGTCGCCCAGGCTGGAGTGCAGTAGCACAATCATGGTTCACTGCAGCCTTGACTTCCTGGGCTCAAGTAGTTCTCTCACCTCAGCCTCCTGTGTACCTGAGGCTACAGGCGCAAGCCACCACGCCTGGCTAATTTTTTTGGTATTTTTTTGTAGAGACGGGATTTTGCCACGTTGCCCAGACTGGTTTCAAACTCCTGGGCTCAAATGATCTGCCCACCTCAGCCTCCCAAAGTACTGGGATTACAGACGTGAGCCACTGCGCCCAGCCTTCACAAGACTTTTTCCTTTTTGAGACGAAGTCTTGCTTTGTCGCCCAGACTGGAGTGCAGTGGCCTTGATCTTGGCTCACTGCAACCTCTGGCACCCAGGTTTAAGCTATTGTCCTGCCTCAGCCTCTGAAATAGCTGGGATTACAGGTGCGTGCCACCACGCCCAGCTAATTTTTGTATCTTTAGTACAGACGGGGTTTCAGCATCTTAGCCAGGCTGGTCTTGAACTCCTGACCTCATGATCCACCCACCTCAGCCTCTCAAAGTGCTGGGATTATAGGCGTGAGCCATCGCGCCCAGCCTTCACAAGACTTTTCTTTTTTTTTTTTTTTTTTCTTGAGACAGGGTCTCGCTCTGTGGCCCAGGCTGGAGTGCAGTGGCCGGATCTCAGCTCACTGCAAGCTCCGCCTCCCGGGTTCACGCCATTCTCCTGCCTCAGCCTCCCGAGTAGCTGGGACTACAGGCACCCGCCACCTCGCCCGGCTAGTTTTTTGTATTTTTTAGTAGAGATGGGGTTTCACCAGGTTAGCCAGGATGGTCTCGATCTCCTGACCTCGTGATCCGCCCGTCTCGGCCTCCCAAAGTGCTGGGATTACAGGCTTGAGCCACCGCACCCGGCCAAGACTTTTCTAATAGCCCCTTCTACAGGCCAAGATTTTTCTACCCAAAATCTTCATGAGAGGGCCAGTAGGGGTCCAGAGCCCCTGAGGTAAGCTCATGGGGAAAATAAAAACCCTACCGATTTTCTCATTCATGTTGTGCTCTGATGCCAACTTGAGGCAGAAATGGCACAGGGAGGCCAGGTGGCTCCGGCTCTTGTGAAAGGCAAGAAATGTGGGAACCTGCCTGGCCTTACCAATCCGCTCAGGCTCATCAGAGGTGGTTCCTGCAATGCCACTGCTTTCCAGACCGAAGGCAGGGTCCGCCTTGCCTGTTACTTTGGCTGCTTCTTCCACTTTCCGAACATGGGCCTCCACCAAGGCCGTGGGTACCTCTTCCTTCATTTTGGAGAACTCCTCTGTAAGACCCAGAAAGGATGAGGCTGGGAGTGGCGCAGGGGGACAGTTCTGGCAATCCCTGCAAAAGCTTACTCACAAGCCCATGTCTTTATCTAAGCCAGTATGGAGCCTAGACAGATGCCCGAGCTGAGGCCTGCACAGACAAGGACAGCAGGGCAGCCAAACTTGAGAGGATTCACAGTCTGAGTAACTAGCCCTTCAAAAGCAAACTAAGAAGGCCAGGTGGAACCGCCCACCCCCATTACCTAGGGCTGACTTTGCAGCAGCAGAGGCGACTCGGGGATCGACGACAGAGGCCAAGAAGGCAACAGTGCTCATAACAGGGTTGCCCGACTGACTGAAGGGGATGGGTTGGTAGGCCAGGGGGCCTAGGGAGGCCTCTGAGTCCTCCAGGTATGGGTCTTCAATGGGAAGACGAAGAAAATGCAAGATGCACTCGTCCTGTGTGCGGCTTCCCACATGCTCGGACACTTTGTTCCAGTCATCTTTGTACATTTCCAGTGCCTGGTGGTAGTGGTGGAGACATAACTCCGCTTACTTAGCCACTTTTCTCGAAGGCCGACACCCCCCATCCTACTAAGGGCAGCTGGTTTCAAAGCTCTCTATGTTCTGGTATTTGTGTACTCTGCTAGGTCCAAGAGGGATCTTGAAGTAGCACTAAGAAAGGATATGAAGTTAATGAAATGGCCCAAATCCCCAGCCTGGAGCTGGTCCCTGCGGCAGGTGCAACAGGCATTGGGAACGGGAGAGACAGGGCAAGATCATGCTCTGCTCATGCCAAACTCCACGATCTCTCCTCACTCACAAGTGTGGCCAGCAACTTCAACATGTCTGTTTTCTTTTTTTGTTTGTTTGTTTTTTGAAACAGGGTCTTGTCTCACTCTGTCACCCATGCTGGAGTGCAGTGGTATGATCATAGCTCACTGGAGCCTTGACCTCCTGGGCAATCCTCCCACTTAGCCTCCTGAGTAGCTGGGACCACAGGTGTGTGCCACCACACCTGGCTAATTTTTAAAATTTTTCATAGAGGCAGAGTCTCACTATGTTGTCCAGGCTCATCTCGAACTCCTGGGCTCAAGCGATCCTCCTGCCTTGGCCTCCCAAAGTGCTGGGATTACAGGTGTGAGCCTCTACACGGAGCCCACTTCTGTTTCCAGAGAAAAACTCTTTTCTTTGCCCCAATTACCTCCAGGAGAAGCAGGGTTTCCTGTTCTGTCCACTCACGAGTGGCACTGGCTGCAGCTTTGCTCTGCAGGGGAAACACAGGCAGGTCAGAAGAGAGGAGCCTGTGACCTCTGAGGAGGGAACATTCTCTACCCCTAAAGTCGGCCCCCACCTCCTACCTTGGAGGGAACATTCTTTTTTGTGTACATGTCTGTGCGCAGCCCAAAGTTTTGCATGTCTGTTGGTTTCTCTTTGCCTTTGTCAGGAAAGTTGAGCATTTGTTGGGAAGCAGAGGTCTGCTATTTGTGGAGGGAAAGAAAGAGGTGAGTACAAGTGACCACTGGGAGCCAGGGGCTGACAGAGAGAAAAAACAGACAGAAGGAGCTTCTTTCCCAAAGCCAGGGACACCCCTGGGTGGGACTTCCTCCCTTACTGCTGTAGTTCCTCTGCTCTCATGTCTCTTCTTCCCGGGCAGGGGCCCCCCAATAAAGGGGCAAATGAGCAGCCCAGCAGGGTCTGCACCCCACCTACCAGCTCTGGCTTGCCCTTAGCCGTCTCTGGCACCAGGTCATCCAGCTCTTTGCCCTTTCGCCCAGCCTTGGTATCAGCATCAACCTGGCGGCCCTGGGGGACAGAGCTTGGCGTCATGGAGGCTGGGCAGGAAATGACCAGGTCAAGGCCCTGGAGGCCTCAAGACCAAATGCTGGGCGGCCCGCAAGCTCTGGGGGCACTCATGCCACTGTTCCATGTTCCCTTCATGATTAGTAAGACATGTCATTGGCATGATATCCATATATATTCACATTATCTTTACAGGTTCTCTTAGGAGCTGGACAATTACGTTCTAATCCTAGATTTGGTACTCTGTGACCTTGGGCAAGCCACATAACCTTCTTCCTAAATTTTGTAATGGATGAAGTGGAAACGAAAAAAAAAAAAAAGAAGGTGATAATTATGAGGCAAAAATGAAAAAATGTGGCAAAGATGACAAAGTTTAAAAATTTCATGCAAGTTAATTTTAAGCCATTTTTCTCTATCTATTGAATCCCCTACATTAGCCTGTCTGCTCCTTGAGTAAAAGGATAATCTCTTCTCCCTCAGCAATTACAGCCTTAGGTACAAAGGCTGAGAGAGGGTGCTAAACACATGGGGCTGATTCCTGTGGCCCTTTGCATCCCATGGAAAAGGAAGAAGCCTCAAAACACTCCTGAACCATTAGCCTAAAAACCAGAAAAAGAAAAGTTCAAAGAAGCCCAATCTTCCCAACCCCGCCCCGTCCCCATAGTACCTCACCCTACCTGAGGGGTCTTGGGCTGCAGAGGCACTAGCCCTGATGGTGTGTCAGCCAAGACATGGAAGTGAGAGGTAGGCGGAGGCCCCATTGGGGTTGGTCGACTCTCAGCATCCACCTGGTAGTTAATAAGACCCCACTGTTCTAGGAAGGCATGGACCCTGTGCGGAGAGAGGCAGAGACAGTGTCACACGGATAGCCAGAAAGGTGCACGAGGAAGAGAAAAACTGGGGGTAGAAGTTGGGGCATAAACCCCCTCCCCACCCAACCCCAGCCTTTTCCTCTGTTCATTGTACTCCTTAGGAAATTTTACCTACTCCAGTTGTTCATTTACCACCTAAATGCCAGTGACACCCAAGTCTACATCTCCAGCCTGGGCCAATCTCTATATCCACCTACCTACTGAACATTTCTTCCTGAATAGCTAGTAAAACTGAACCAGTTTCTTTCTTTTCTTTTCTTTCTTTGCCCTTCCTCCCTCCCCCCTCCCTCCCTCTCCCTCTTTTTCTTTTTTTCTATCCTTGAGAGAGGCTGAAGTGCAGTAGTGTGATCACCGCTCACTGCAGCCTCCACTCCACGGCTCAGTGATCCTCCCATCTCAGCCTCCTGAGTCACTAAGACCACAGACACGTGCGACCACGCCTAGCTAATTTTTTTGCATTTTCTGTAGAGATGGGGTTTCGCCATTTTGCCCAGGCTGGTCTCGAACTTCTGGCCTCCAGCGATCCTCCCACCTTGGTCTCCCAAAATGTTTAGATTATAGGCATGAGCCACTACACCTGGCCTGAACCAGTAGCTTTCAATTACACATGTGCTCCTTCTTTGTCCTATATTCTACACTTCAGAGAATGCCACTGCTAATCCCTTAAGTCATTCATTCCCAAACCTGTACTTCACCTTTCTCTAGAGGTGTTTTTTTCTGCCTGCTCCTCTATGTTCCTTGCTGGCATCTCTACTGTTGTCAAAACACATCCATAGGCAGGCATCTTCATGTACCCCCTTCCCCCCAGCCACAAGACCCACCTCATGATGGCACAGACATCACCCGCTAGGTTTCGACGACAGGCGGTAGAGGTAAGATACTCTTGGGGGTTCAGTCGGTAAGTGTCAATCATAAAGTTTCGATAGGCCAGGTAGCTTAGAAGAGAGAGAGAAACAAGAAAAAAAATAAATGTTTGTTAAAGGGCTAAAGGAAAAAATGGTAAGAGAGCTAACGACTTCTCCTGCATGATAAAGGTGGAAAAAAATAGATTATTTGACTCAATCCGCTGAGTGCCTGCTATGTGCTAGATGAAAGGGTTTCAAATAGGTCTTAGTTTTCCTTGATGGTGTTTTCTTTAAATGAATTATCTCCTTGGCTATACTTATGGATATTTCATACAATTTTTTTTTTTTTTTGAGATGGAGTTTCACTCTTGTTGCCCAGGCTGGAGTGCAATGGCGTGATCTTGGCTCACAGTCACTTCCGCCTCCTGGGTTCAAGCAATTCTCCTGCCTCAGCCTCCTCAGTAGCTGAGATGACAGGCATGTGCCACTGCGGTGGGATAATTTTGTATTTTTAGTAGAGACAGGTTTACTCCATGTTGGTCAGGCTGGTCTTGAACTCCTGACCTCAGGTGATCCTCCTGCCTCGGCCTCCCAAAGTGCTGGGATTACAGGCATAAGCCACTGCGCCTGGCCATTTTATACAATTTTTAAATAAGGAATTAGAAGTTAAGAAAAAGTACTCATTCCCAAACTCAGATGTTAATAAGGAAGTCCTTATTCATGCACACAGCTAGTTAGCATAATATAGTAAAAAACATATGTTTTGAAGAAAAGACCTAATCCCAGTTCTACCATGAGGACCTTGGCAATTTACTTCGATATTTTTAAACCTCAGTTTCCTCATCTGTAAAATGGAACATCCGTTGAGAATGAGAGGTCTATAGAGTACTAGTACAGTGCCTGGGGCACTGTAAGGGCTCAAAAAAAATAGCGGCTATTATGTGGTACAGTGTAAACTTTCAGATCATGGGCCAGATTAAAGGATTCAGATCCTGGTTTTACTTACTAGCTCTGTGACTTTATGCAGGTGACCTGACTCCTCTGTACCCTATCTGTCAACTGAAGATGGTATCAACCTCCGTTGACATAAAGATTAAATTACTCAATGTATGTTGGACATTTAGGATAGTGCCTGGGAGATACTAAGCTCTCAATAGATGTAGGCAATTATCATCATTTACTATTTTTTTTTTCTGAGATGGAGTTTCACTCTTGTTGCCCAGGCTGGAGTGCAATGACGTGATCTCGGGCTCACTGCAACTTCCACCTACTGGGCTCAAGTGATTCTCCTGCCTCAGCCTCCCAAGTAGCTGGCATTACAGGTGTGTGCCACCACACCCAGCTAATTTTTGTATTTTTAGTAGAGATGGGGTTTTACCATGTTGGCCAGGCTGGTCTCGAACTCCTGACCTCATGATCTGCCCCGCCTCGGACTCCCGAAGTGCTGGAATTACAGGCGTGAACCACTGCACCGAGCCCATCATTTACTATTTTATACCAAGAGTTCAGTTCCTACTCCAACCCTGCCTGCATGTCATGTTGAATTCATTTCATCTGATCACTACTTTCTTTTCACACATACTGCTTTCTCCAGGAAGAGAAGAAGAGAGAACCACAGCAAGCTATGAGGAAAAAACATGGAGGGACCACCAGAGAAGGCAAGCTGTGGAATACCAGGAAGAAAACTTGTTCAGTTCTCAGTCTCACCCACCTCATCAATGTGGTTATCTTCAAGTATTCCTAACCAAAGAAGATTGCCACGTCTTATCCAAAGCCAAGCAGGTTTGGCCTGAGGCAAAATCTTTTTTTTTTTTTTT